AATTGTTTGCTAAGCAATGCCGGGAGGGAGTTTTGGAGCGTCAAGCTTAGGGAAAAGGAAATACAATTAGACAAAAAAACATTCGCAATCATTGCTGCTGAGTTAGCGGAAGCAGCGTTGTTCCAATTCGATCCTGCTACAATTGATCGTGTCACGCCACATTTACGCGGCAGTATTTGGCGGATAGTCCTTCGAAAGATAATATCGTATATCTGCGAGAACATACTGGAATTAGGAGTGACAATCAGATGTGGTTTTGAACAGACCCGTCGATGAAATTCGATTGAGTTGCTAATTTCACCTCGACACGATCGTAATTAAACTTTAAAGTAAGATAGTCTATGATGAGAGGAAGAGACACTAGAGTGGAAAGAGATAAAGGGAGAGAGCAATAGGTTATCGCTCTTGTCGCGGGGGAATTTGCTCCGGAGCATGTCGACATCTTACGAAGTTTCCGCTGCTAATGAAAGATATTGCCCATCTCAGTTCATACCTTCTAGACACCGTCGTACGAGACGGAAAGATTAAATGCTTAGTTTTCGAACGTGCGTGATTTTTCTCATCAACTTCTTGGATAACTTGTCTCATGATTTTTTGCCAATTAAGAGAATCATTTTCTTTTAAAAAAAAGAGAAAAAATAAAGTATTTTTATAAAGTAAAATTTCAATTTTAACACTGATATCATCAATGAAAACTTCTAATAATTTTGAAACAATAAGTTTGGGTTTTTATATAAAGTAAAAGATACGTTATTGTAAAATATAGCGAGAGACCACGACGTTTTAAATTCTTTTTACTCTCTTCCGAGTTTTCCGCCTCACAGACTCGACAAAATACCTTATACTTTGAACATAAAGGAAAAGAGAGAGGCGTCTAAAAATGTGACACAGCTCGAAAAAATTACTTCCGTATCATGAGACCTCTTCGCAAGGTTTTGGGCTGCTCGGTGCGATTTAGGCGCTGAAATATTTTACTTCGTGTATTTTACTTTGTGTTTTTAAGATACTACTCCATTTTTCGAGAATAATGCTTGTAAAGTGCACTCTTGCAAGTTTTCATATGGAATATTCCTGATAGGTTTGCATTGAAAGATAACGCGTTCCATCAAAAAGTAATATATTCCGCCTAAGGAAGAATGTTATCGATTTTGCTCAACGAAGTAAACGTGATAGATGCGTTAAGACATCAATTTCATTCATGTATCGCGTAACGTGTGCGTCACGAAGCTAAACCATTCTTGATAGAAATTCCACTAAATTACGCTCCGAGGTATAGCGCGCAATAGAGCGCGCGTTGTTATCGTTACAAGTTTGTGCATGCAATTACGTCTTACGTGTGTGCGTGTGTGTGGTATGTGTGCTGCAATTGTAAGCGTGTGTGATATAATTTTGCGATGACTGTCGTCACACACTGCAGGCAGTTTGCTCACTGCGACGTACGAACGTGCGATATTGAGAAACATCTTGCGATTAAATATATATTTTACAATACGCACTCTCGTCGCAAAGAATATTCTCGCCATCTAAAATTAATACAACGGCTATCCAAAAACGTATACACATCATCATAGCATTTTACAGAGAGACGTAGATATATACAGAAACGGACATTGCGGAATCCGTTGTGGGAGGAAACTGTCAATTGTAATACTCCCTTGTCAGTCGATGTATAGAACTTGATATTCTTCGTCTACCCATGATTTCTCCGATTTTAAATTTCTACGATAAAAAAGTGAGAAATATTTGGGCTTTTTGGAAGCTGCGCTCTTTGCACGGTAATTTAATCACCGTATGATTTATTGCAGGATTCTCAACTAACGGCACATATCGTTTTCGAGAGCAGTTCTTTCATTAAAAGGCAAAATCCTTAAAAATTTCGAATCTGCAATTGGCTCCGCTCGGTGAGTAAGTTGCATTACCGTGGAATGAGTGTCGCTCCGCGATCAACAATCGGCTGTCTTCGGTAGGTTCATTTGAGATAAAAAAAGATTTGGATAAAAAAATGTTGAGTAAGAATATTGTTTGGCGTACTAAAAAGTGCAATTTAGCGTTGAGACGCCGATCGAGACTGATCGCGAGCCCGTCGTGCGGGACAAGACTTACACCATTTAATCGCGGGATCTCGATGCTCGGTATGTAGGTGGTCTCCTCGTGTTCCGAGGAGCAAAGGTGCGTCCTTCTCCTGGAGGTGCTGCGCGGGCTGCAACGGCCGCACAGCCCGGCGGCCGCGGAATTGCGCGATTTCGCGGCGGGCCTCTGCCGGGAGCCGCAGCGGACGGCGAATCGCAATTCCGAGGCCATCTCGGCGCAGAGGGACTGTCGAGTGATTAAACGTGGTCGATGCGCAGCAGGTGCACGTGTGTTTACCATCCGAGGGGGGGTATCATCGGCGATGCAGGCGGCAGCCGTGACAGGTACGACATAGACACCAAGAGACAATACAGAGAACGATCATACGAAACCGAACGCATGCAAGGCTGATTTCTCCGTTATGCGAGGTCGTTTGTCGCTCGACGGGATGTCGTTCTTTCGATCGCGCGCGAATATAGCACGGTCATCTAGTCTAAATTGCGTTTGGCTGGTGGAATTGCAAGTGAATGATATATTTGCGCAAGGCAAATATTGGTGAAACGTAGGAGATAGATATTTCATCTAAAAACACGAGAACTCGAAAGACTACAAAGATTCGTCTTTGATGCCACAAATAGAATAAAATTTTATTTTTATATATGACTTATTTATTGCTCAGTTTAAAGCAATACGACTAATAATTTAAAAAACTTCAATTTTCAAGCCGGATTAATATGTCAAGAAGACAATAAATAATTTGAGAAATATTAGAATTTTGAACCGAGACTCAAACGATCCCGTTCAACCAAGAGAAAGTACAACTCATGCAGCACGTTCACCTAAAGCATAAAATTCTATACCGTCCTGTCGGTATTTCATTTCGCTTACCCGATCCGATTGGGCATTCTT